TCGGCGTCTGCGCCGGTATCGTCGCATCGTTCAGCTTGTTATACGCATGAACGATGCGCCAGCCGCCCTGTGGCTTCTTGACACAGAACGTCGGAGCACTGTGCGGGGATTTCGATTCCCGCACTTGTCCAGCTTTGCGACGACTTTCGAAGAAGTCGTCGATCGCTTTGACCTGCTCTCGCGGCAGTGGCCACTGCCGCGTGACACAGTACTTCGTGCCCGGCACGAGATCAATCTCGTGCTGGATTCCCTTGTCCTGCGGAAGCTCCGCAGGAATCTCTTCCGGAAGTACGTCCGCGTACTCCCGTAAGGTCTCGTAGTAGGGACTCGTTTTCAACGAGTCCCAGCTCTGCTCTTCAAAGCGCTCCTTCTTCGTCTTCGCACTGAGAGTGTCCTCGCTCTCAGTGGTGGTCTCCATGAAGAACTGCCTCAGTTCTTCATTCTCGCTCTTCGTTCTCTCGGCGTCCGAGAGAATGCATATTTGCTCGATGCGTCCATCGTGCAAGTCACGCGCGAAGCGCTTCCAACTCATGACTGGAAGCGAAGTCAACTCCGACGCTTGCGTCGGAGGGTTAGCGAGGGTCATCTCCCTGTACCGGAACCCGGCACAGGTACGCGTCAAGACGTTCAACGTCTCGACGTCCGGCTTCTCAGCCTCCGTCTGCCCGGCAGGCATTCCTTGTAGCGTCTCGACCCCAGGCCGAGACTTGCGCAGCGATCTTCGCATGCGCCGTCTTCTTGTTTTGTGGAGCCCGGCTCCGCTTGGTTCTTGACCTCGTCCAGGCCCAGCCGCCGTGGACGGGTGTTCTTCTTTAGTACCGCCGGCGGGTTCATCCCGCGGGCGAGCGACTTCAAGCCCGGCTTGGTCGCCCGGCGCTTCGTCGTGCAGCCCGGCTCCACGACAGCATGCAAGTTTTTCCGGTGCGGAACGTTTGCAACCGTCCGCACCGCCTGCAGCGTCGGCTCCCGGAGCCGACACGCCATCTTCACCTCGACGCCTGTTATTGGCGGAGCCCTCCATTACGGAGGGTGCGTCGGCTCCCCGAGCCGACGAATCATATTCGCCCAAGCCATCGACTCCCGGAGTCGACGGCGTTATGTCACCTTGGCTCTTATTATTGGCCAGACCTGATCCAATCAGATTCGCGTCAGCCTACACGGCTGAGGCGTCTGACTCGCCTGCGTCATCCGTGCCCCTTGAGGCCGGAGACTCTTCCTGATTCGCTGAAAAGCGGGTGTCGATCTCCGAGATCAACACATTTTCTCCTTCAGCCGTCGGCGGCGACGCCGACGCTTGCTGCTCTTGCGCGCGAGCTCGCGCGCGCCCAGGTCGTTCCGGGACAGCGGCATTAGGCGCTGTCTCGAGTGGGGAGTCGCGCGCACCTGTCGGTGCGTGCGTAGCGGCAACAGGGCCATCGCTCACTGTTCCGCTGTCGCGACCGAAGCGCACGAGAGTGCGCTTCTCCCAATCGATGACCGGATCATGTCGTGCAAGCCACGACATGCCCAATACAATGTCAAACTTATCGTCCAGATCCAGGACGATAAAGGTCTCGACAAACGCTTGATCTTCATACGTGAAGCGCACGCGTACCATGCGCTTCTCGGTCTTCACGACGGCACCCGTTGCCAGTCGTACTTCCAACATACTTCGAGGTATCTTAAATCCTCGAAGTCAAGCCTTGATAGACTTCGCAGTCGAACAAAGTTCTTAGACGCGCCAGAATCTACCAAAGCACGGAGAGAGCCGCTTGCTCTCATCGAGTTCACTTTCAGGATGACAAGGTCAGGCTTGTCATCTTGGTTCTTGCAGTGAGGATCAACCTCACTGGGGGCTGCCGTCCTCAGTGTCGCGTGTCCAAGGTCGACACGCGGAACTGCATTACCAGTAGGGCGCCCCGAGCCTACTGGCGTCCAGCGTTTTTTGTTTGGTTGCGACGGTGCCCGGCACCGCCGCGATAGCCACCCTGCTGGTGCATGGGGGTCGTGCACTCCCGAGCAAAGTGACCGATTCTACCGCATCGGTAGCATCGCACATTGTTTCCTTGCGACTGCTGGGGTCCAGCAGTTGCAGCACTCGAGAGGTCCATGGGTTCTGGGCCTCCCGTCCTCACTACCGCGCGTGGCTGTGGCCTCGGCACATGTGCATGCAGCTTAGCCTGCCGCAGGCTAAACTCCTCCTGCATTGCAAGAGTAATTGCAGCTTCGAGAGTACTCGGGTACTCACGGAAGAGATAGGTCTTCACAGGCCCATCTCTCAGCCCCTTTATGAACGTGACGACCTTGGTCGCCTCGTCGATCGGATTGGTCACGATGTTCGAGACCAAGTACTGTGCTCTCTGCGCGTATCCATGGACATCATGCTTACCCTGCTGTAGGTTGAGAAACTCTGCCCTCGACCGAAACTCATTTTGCGGGGGCTCAAACGCTTGTCTGAGTTCCTCCTTGAAACCCTCATAGGTGCTGAAGCACATAGGATCAGAGAGTCGGCGTCCATACGCGCAACTTCTCGCTCGTCCGCCAAGACATGACATGGCGAACGCAACCTTGGACAACGGGTCGACGATACGTCGAGCCGCGATGGCAGTGTCGAGTTCGACAAGCCAACGGAGGAGAGGCTCGCCCTCTCTTCCGACATAGTTGCTCACGTTTAGCTTCAACGTTTGCTCGCGCGGTGTCGTCCCTGACGCCACCGTGATAGAGGAAGCAGCATCACGCTGCTCCTTCATGATGAATCCCAGAGCAACACCGTGTTGCTCCATCGGCGATAGTGTGCGCAGCATTACAGCTACAGCCGCTTCTCCAATGACTGTTGACAGTCGTTGGAGTGCCTCCCACTCTGGATCCGACAGGTGGAGGCAGTTAGCGCGTGCAACATGAGTTGCAGGCGAAGTGGAGCTTTCCATGGGCACCTCCGCGCTCATGAAAAGGTTCTCGGCTCCTCGTTCGTACAGCTCCGTACGAACGTTCAGGTAGTCGGTCGTTGGACGGACTACAAAGTGCTACCAGGTGTAATGGGCCTACCTTGGCTCACTACTACGGCTTACACGTATGCGCATGTGTATGAGGAAGCGTAGGTTTCTTTTACTTGAGTTAAGTATACTCGAGATCCACGAGTATACTTTAAACAAGATAAAGACTCCAAATAGCGTGTTTTGGTAAAAGATGAGAACTGCTATTTTTGTTTTATGTTTCTGACTTCCTCTAAATGTAATATTCTAAGATAGGAATCTGCCAACGGCTGGTTGGCAGAATTCCAATGCTATGCATGCCGCTCATTGGCTAAGAGATGCTGCTCTCAGCCAATAGGAATCCTAAGTCCCTATGGACCACCCGTCGTGGTGGTCCTAAATGTATGCAGCCTTTGGTGTGTCTACACCAAGGTCGAGAAAGTCTTTCAAACCTCTAACAGACATCGCATCTGTTAGAGTAACAAGTGACTGTAGCCACTTGTGCGTGTAACCCCGTTACAATTTCCCTCAAATATTTTCGCTGATTAATCAATCCTTCGATAGCGAACTTTGGAGTCTTGAGTCAATGGTCGGTGCTGTTTCCAGAACCGAGATCCACCCCAGTACCGGGGGCAGTCGAATTTATCTCTGGATCGTTTGTCGCGGTTCAAATATGCTTTTTGTTTCGGGTATCTTCATTGCTAGGTCTCAGATTTCGCTGCTGTTGCCTTTACAGAGTTAAATGGGCGAAAAGTGAAATAGCGATCAGGAAAAATATGCATTTTCGAATACATACCCTCCTGTCGAATAGATGTAGAGTCTTAAAGATATACTTGGTAATAGTTTGCTAACACAGCTTGCGCAAAAGATGAGTACATATGAACGGTATCCGCCAGAAATCGGAATCTTTATACTGGGAGGACAGCTTTAGCTGGCTGAACAGTCTAACCAATTTTATTTCAGCGGCCGCCCCCAACTTTAATTGGCAAATGTCGCCTGAGTCCATAGTCCACAGATAATGGCTACCGTAACACGACGAAGTTGGTACATCTCGTGACTTGTTGTTCCCAGAATGTCGACTGTATCCGTAGTGTGTCCCACACACTGTAGTGAGCAGTTCTTGAATTTATGAAATTTATTTGAAGAATCATAACTAGGATAGGAGTAAATGCTAGCTTATAAGGAGAAAATGCTAGCTTATAAGGAGAAAATGCAGAAAAATCATTGAAATAACTTTTTCCTGCGTCTGTTCGCGCCAATGGCATTTGGCTTCGTTTTGGCCCCGCTCTAAATTGACTAAATCCCATGGGTCCTTCTTGTGTAAATTTATAGCTGGAATGCATGACGTCAACGCGCTCGGCCGGGGGCTTTGGCCCCCGGCCGAGCGCGCCTATATGAGGATTCTCCTCCGGAAATCCGAGTGAAAGGAACTCAAGTTCTTTGTCAAGGCCCATCTGTCTGTACGATAGATTGGGATCGACCCGTAAGGGCCAAAGGGGTTTTTAGGCTGATGCTTTCCTCATCCGCGCCACGGTAGTGAGCGTGTGTGAAATGAAATATATTACTTTACAATCTGTATCCTATCGCTCAAGTGTCTTCCCAAGTGTCTTCTCGGCTTGCATCCGCCAGCTCGCACCCAACGTTCGCTTGCGAGCCTTTAACTTCTTTCGTGTCTTTTGCACGGCACCTTCGCCCTTTTTTTAAGGTGCTACACCAGGGTTTGAAAACTTGCCACCAATTCTCATGTTACATTATTCTTGCCTACCCCACGTTTGCACACAAAGGGAGTCTACACTGTCCTCCCAGACCAAAGCTTCGCCTCTAGTACACATCAAGTTCCTTAAACTACGATCGCACTTGCAAGAGCGAAAGTTACACTGTGTCGCACGTACTGAACGGTATTTACCGCTGATCGGCCAGTTTTCGTCTAATCGATCGAGTGCATGCAGATATTGCGTGAAATTCTGGGAAGTGCTCGCAGCATATGGTCTTATAGGCGGTGGCGCGTCAGGCACGACAGCAATGGCCGTTGAACAAACCTAGGCTACCATGCTTCGTATTCTACACAGAACGGTACGGCGTGACTGTCAGTCCATTCAGCAATTTGCTTCGCCGCGATCACACCCTCCCCAGCTCCTATCCCCCAGACAAGTTTTAAAACTATGCGCGTATATGCCACCTTGCTCGTCGCCTTGGTTATCCTTCTTGCTAGCACTGAAGCTGCATCGGCTGCGACGCGTTCGAGCCCCACGTAGCTGGCTCAGGCAGCCCCCAAATACGATTATACCGACAGCACTGGCGCACGGTTCTTGAGGAAGAGAGAAGCCGACGAGGAAAACGATCTGACCGCCGAAGAGAGAAACTTTGCCAAGAATTTGTACTCGAAGATCGTCAAGAAGAACGCGCTGAAATTGTTCACGAAAACTAACGACCAACTGGCTGCGAAAAAGTATAGCCCGAGCCACCTTTTCGATGCGCTGAAAACGCTGAGGAAGTCGGGTGTCCCGGAAGAAAAACTCGTGGGGCTCCTTGGTAAGGCGGATGATTGGTCGGATCACTGGTACCGGACGGCTGGACATTTGGATCCTGTCAGGAACTAAGCCGGCAACTAACGTTAAGTGTAGACACACTAACAATTAACCTAACAATTTACCGTGCAGATTCGTTTGATCATTGCTGAGCTTTAAAGATAAAGTAAACAAGTGCCATGAGTCTCATCCGCTAGTGTGAAGTGATGAGCAAAAATTTTATGCATATACTACAAGCTACTGAGCGTACGTTTGGCAGGTTACGATTCGACACCGTGCTCTCTACAGTTGTCGACTAAAAACTGCCTGCGTAATGCATCCATTCCGCAATTGACAGCGAAATGTTCAGTAAATGAAGCTGGTGGTCTTGATTGAACCAGCCACGTAGGGTGTTTACAAGACCCGATGTGGTGTCCGCATTGGCTGCTTTAAACTCTTATCTGTGGCGTTGCGAGGCTTGGGTCCCAACCGAATGCTTGCATTCACTTACTTCCCGAACTTCCCAGAGTATGCCAGCGACTGTCAACGAGAGCTCCAGCTTCTCGCCGACCCAGTACTTCGTCCCCGTGCTAGAAGTATCCGAGGCTACAGCCGAGCAACCCGCCAGTCAGCGAAGTCTACCTATTCTTGCTGGCAGTCAACGCTCCTGTCGATACGAGTACGAGAATGCAGATACGGGCCTCGGGACGGGAGCCGCGACAGCTCGATGTCACGGAATGTCGATGAATACCGAGCTACAAGGAGAGAAGTGGACTCGCCGGGCTCGAAAGTGCAAGAATTGGTGTATCGGCTTGCGGTGGCGTCTCTCGCGGGGCTTGTTCGCAGTTCCAATACCGCTTTTGACGCCGTATCTCGGCTTCAAAGTGTGCGACGTTCTGATCGCGCTGCCGTTTATCGCTACGCTTTTCGGATTTTCCACAAGATCGGCTCTCCAGGGGGATGTACCAGGCTCAGGATGGCCGCCCACGGTTGGGTTACTCCTCACATTCTTCTTTGTCGTGCGGAGAAACTCGCTGTTGCTATCGATAACCGGCATTTCGTTCGAGCGAGGGCTGTTTTACCACAAGATCTCCGCTGTTAGCACCACATTGCTTGCGGGCCTCCACGGTTGGTCTCATTATCGAGCTTCAAATACTAGTGAGCAAGGAAACAAGCAGGCAAAGGTTGTAACTGGCCTTGTATCTTTTGGTGGGATGGTGCTGCTGCTTGTGCTCTCTCTCAACTCAATTAGGAGACGTTTCTTTGATTTTTTCGTCCGAGCGCATTGGATTCTCTTCATTATTGTGATAGTGTACGCTGTTGCACACGGCGCGACGCTAGCGCTATTTGGAATCGTGCCGTGGATGATCGATGTGGTCTACAGAATCGTATTTCAAGTCAGAATGTACTCGCATGGATCTTCAGATAGCTCCCAAGGCAATTTCAAGCAACTTCCACGTGGTGTAACCTCCCAAGGTCAAGTGACAATGGTGAGACTTGGAGATAACATGCTACGCATCCAGTTTCGCCGTGAACGAGTGGATACGGAAGAAATTTTCGAGTACAAGGCCGGTCAGTACGTGTTCGTATGCGTACCAGAGATCTCGTTGCTGGAGTGGCATCCATTCTCGATCTCTTCGTCTCCAGCCGAAGCCACAGTCACGCTTCACGTCAAAGTGGTCGGTGATTGGACCCAACGGCTACGCAAACTTACCCATGATGCCGAAATTGGCGAACGAGTACCCGTAAATCTCCTGGCCGAAGGTCCGTATGGTGGCGTCTCCGTCGACATCTACCGTCCGCAGACATACTCCCATTTCGTGCTCCTGTCCGAAGGCATTGGCGTCTTCCCCTTGCGGTCCGTCGTGACATGGCTCCACCACGAACAAGCCTCGCGAAACCGCGAATCAATCGATCGTGTGCACCTCGTTTGGTCCGTATACACCCACACCGAGCTCAAGACGCTCCTTGCCGTTGAAAACCTTTCGGAAAATGACCCCGACAACTTTTTCGTCGCCGCCAATCCGCATCAAAAGCCAAGTTTCCACAACGAAATCGCAGATGTCTTCACATTCGACTTCCACGTGGCTGAACGGAACCCTGACACTGACTGTCCAGTAGAAGCGGACAACTTCGTCCACTTCGGATCCCAGCCTAACTATGTCCAGATCCTTCAAGACATCGGCACTGACTGCAAGCGGAACTCCGTCCATCGAGTCGCCGTTCTACTCTGCACCTCCAGCCACACCTCAACCGACATAGTGTCCACCTGCATCACTCTATCCAAGACGCTCCAAGTGTCCTTCGACGTCCACATTGAGAATTTTGATTTTTAGACTTTCGTAATCCGTAAAAAAAATCGAAGTTGAAGCTGCTCCCATTCCCATCCAATCACATCTTGTCAATCCATTTTCTACCAATCAAATACATTAACCCATCTTAAGTACGGTCCAAACTTCTTGCCCATATTTCTGCGGCCTTCAAAGAGCAAAGCAGCAACGCAACCGTCACGAACGTACCCCAACTTCCGCGCGTCGTATCTACCATGGCAGAGCTCCCCAGCGCCTCCGCAGGGGCTCCAGCTGTAGCCAGCGATCTCGACAGCCTGCCTGCCGCGTTGAAGGCCGCGTCGGGCTCTCCCGGCGCCGTTAAGCGCTCGGCCGCGGAGGCCTTTGAAGGCGACAGCGTAGAGGACCTAAAAGACGACGAGACGACGCTGGACGACGTTCTCGTGTCCCCCGTGACCAAGAAGAGCAAGCTGTTAGACGAGGAGCTGCCCGATGTGGACGACAACGAGCAGTTCCCGCAGCAGGAGGAAGATATGGACGCGGATCTGGCCCTGGGCCTAGAAAATGGAGACGCTAACCAAGATATGGATCCCGAGAACCTAAATATGGAAAGCGCGAACCAAGATATGGAGAACGGAAACTTAAATATGGAAAATACGGATCGCGATGCGGAGGAGCTAGCGCCGCCTGAAGAAGAAGAGGGAGGAGAAGAACAAGAAGAAGAAGAGGAGGAGGAGGAAGTGGCGGACAGCGAGCCCCCGACGTCCCAGAACAATGAGATTGACATTGTAGACGTCGATGACGACGATGAAGAAGAAGAGGAGAGTGGGCCTGGAGGGTACCAACAATACAGTGGCCAGGATGAAGAGGAGGAGGAGGATGACGACGAGCAGGAGACGGCACGAGCTATCGCTCGTGCGCAGAACCAGAGAGAGGCCAGGCAGTTGCTGCTGCAGCTGGACGACTCGGCGCGAAGCAAATTGTGCCTCACGGCGCTGGAGAAGTACGGGGAGGAGCTATTCTACGGCCATGAAGACGCACGAGACGCCATTCTCGTAGACGCCTGCGCGCAAAACTCGGTGCTGTCGCTGATGCGCGACGCTATTCGGGTGAGAGATTTGTATCTGAGGGGGTCTGCTGCTGCGCCGGTGGAGTTGGATGATGACGAGGACGAGGAGGAAGAGGAGGAAGATGAAACAGGGGGGTATGAGGACGAAGAGGAGGAAGCGGACGACGAAGAGGAGAAACCTGCTGCTTCGAATGAGGACGACGACGATGATGACGTCGTGGTTATCTCCGAGGAAGAAGAGGAGGGGGAGGAAGAACAAGAACCAGCAGGGAATGCCGCTCCGAACACTGCTCTTTCACCTGGAAATGAAGCTCCGACTGGCGCTCACGCAGAGGAAAGCAGTGAAGAGGAGGAGAAAGCAGAGTCTGCTAGTGGTGAGAACGATACGTCGGAGAGTGACGAGGAGACCAAGGAGACTGAAGACGCAGCACTAGGCGACGTAGGGGTAGCAGGCGACTCAGCACCAGATGCGCCAGTTGCCGATGCAACTACATGAGGGGTCGGTCGATACCAGCCACTTTTGAATTCTAACTCATTATCGCAGCCACAGAACACACACAGAACGACGTCGCGCGTAAGTCTCTCGTGTT